CGTACCACAGAACAGCCAAAATAGAAATAAATTGCATTATCAGCCATTTCTGACCCTGAACTGTTTTAGCAGATAGTTTCAATCATTTCATCGTTTACCTCAACTTTAAAGATGCTACAGTAGCATTCCTGTGGGACTGTAATAGTTGTTAGCATACAAAAATAACCTTTTAGAAATCAGCATACAGCTCGCAATCCCTGAGGTTTAGTGCCTCCTTTGAGATGACACCTCTGGGAATTCAAGTCTCTCAGCATCTGTCAAAACCACCCACTTAAATTTTTAGTATTCTTTCAGTATGTGGTATCTACATGCAGGGATATCTAATCAATTTTAATTCTGCACTATTTACTCATTAGGCTAATTTTGAAGCTACAACTGCCTGATCTTCACTGATATTGCCTGAGGTGCTATACGATACGTTTTTGCTGCAGGTTTTCTGTTTTGTGCTTTCTCTCTTGCTCTTTTTGCCACATTACATCACTGGAGCCAGCGCCACACACACACATACACACACATCTCTCAATCAGATGGACACAAGGCCCATCAGCCTAGTGAAGTAGAGCCACCTGATGGGTTTGAGATGGACTGAGATGGGGTTAAATAATTGAATTGAGTGAAAAGATAATTAATGGGCAATCAATGAACATACAGAAGACGGGGCATGGGTAGTGGGCAGAGGATCCAATCTAAGAGTTATGAATGATTTAATAGGGGGAGCAGACTTGCATGATAATACTAAACTGTACATGGCAGCCACAGGATTTCTTTAATGTGCTCTCACTCTGATATCTTCACGGGGTGCACGTCACTCTCAGCGAGAGCAGTTGACAGTGGGAAAATGGTACATTTCCAGCATTCATTGCCTAATTAAATAGAAATGGACATTCGTAGCTTTTGCTTATAAACCTGTCAATGTGCCTTTAGACTTTTCCCACTACACAGAAAATGGATGTAGGAAAGGTTTGCACACAGGTCATGTAATCTCTCAAATCCACAGTAGACACCTTTTTTGCTGTCCATATCCTGCCTTTAGTCTTTAATTAGCGTCAAGGGACTGAGCAGCTGGATGAATAAGCCGTCAATTTTACATTATTTTTTTATTTATTTGATGTGCACATCTACACCTGGTTTGTCCACACTTCAACAGTCATATCTGCTTATCCCTACTGCACTCCCTTTAAGGTGATAATCAAGTTGCAAATATGCGTGTTAATGAGACAGTCAAAAGTTTTCAAATGATGCCCTCAAAAAAGCTGATATGTTGCCACGGAGGTATAGAGATGCTTCGGTTACACGATTATTAAAACAGTGACTGGAAAGAACACTTTCAACATGCTTATTCAACTACTCACTTAAGCTTCCGGTAATAAGTAATAAGTGTAGTTTAATATTTACTAAATTATACAATGTCATTAAAACAACTGTCTTTTGAAAAGCGAAATGTGATTTCCAAAATGCTGCATGATCCAATCTGAGCAAATTCTCACACTTCACACCTTTTAGCCACACAACATTTACAAGAACACCAAATAGTATTTTGTCTTTCACTTGAAAATGTCCTATAACTGACTCTCGTTTGGACATGAAGCCAACAATTTGGACACTTGACTTGTCCTTGTCAAAGGACTGGAAATAAACAGGATGTTACTGAGCACTGCAGAAAAGGAAGACATTTTCCAAAGTCCAAGGGTGTTCTGTCACATCTTATCACCTTACCTACTAGTAGGGATGTGCAATCATAATCAGCCATAATCGGAATGAGCAGATTTTTTCAGAATACATTTATTATTTTTATTTTGACAGACCTGTGTTGCAATTTATGAGGTAAATAACATGATGCAGGTAAGTACCCAGGTTCTGTATTTGAATGCTGCTGCTACACCTACACCAAAATGCTGAAGTATAATTATGCATGACTCATTGTGCTGAACAGCCAGTTAGCTCTTACTTTCAATGTAGCTCTTCATTTGACTAATTTTATTTAAATAGGCAACTAATATTTGGTTTATTTATTTTAAAATGCCAGTTTGCTGATTAAAGAGCAAATCATGTTATTTATATGACAACTCCGGCTGATGCAAAGTACTGGCTAACATGCTTCATGTGTTTATTTAGCCCGCCCACTGTGAGCTTCGGGTTAAAAAAAAATTACAAAAAAATCGGCCCAAATAATCACCCATCTGACAATTTGGCTGTAAAGAAATTGGAATCCGCCATAAAAAGTTCATAATCAATGCATCGTTATCTAGTACCACTTACAAAACACTACAAACAAAAATACACATTATGGTCTTTTGCAGAAGTAGTCCTCACCCTTAACTCCACCAGCAGGGTAGGCAAGGACCGAAAAACAAATCCACCACTGTGTATGAAGCCTAGCTCTATACCTCTTCAAATGTTAGTGATGCACCATTGTCTAGCACCATGCACCCAAAGAAGAAGACTACACTCTTTCATTCAGCCAAGTAGACACTCAACTGGTGGCATGACCTTCACATACAATGAGAATATGAGCAACTGCATCCTGTTCTTAAGTGGTATATTGCACAGCTGACTCAAACCTACAGCACCTTTACAATGTTCTAATTTAATGTCCAAAAGGTGTGTCACATTAGCAGTACACAAGTATTGAAGGCAACAGGTAAGCATTACTAAATAATTATACACCTTGTGCCATTCTGTAATGTAGCTGTAATATACTAGCCATTTACGGTTAAACTGCATCTAATAAGAACATTGCAGGGAGAGATCCACACACAGAACAAACAAAATAGCGTCAAAATAATGTCAGAAATCCTTTTTACACACAAACAATGGCAATAAACTCTGTATGAAATGTAAGCACAACTAAAATCTACCATGTTTTATTCCCTTTTTGGATTTTTTCCAAACTACCTCCCTAATATTCACTGGTTCATCACTGATTTACTCTGTCATACCTCCCCTGTTTCTGCTCATGCAACATGACAGAGCAGCTGAACACGCTTGGAGGAAATCGAAGACTGCCCAGTTCTGTGCATGTGAGATGACAGACGCCTATGAGTGGCCAACACCTTTGTAGATCAATAGTAGAGAGGAAATAAGAGGCTGTTTACACCTTGCATTAACATGTTTCCCCCTCTGATCATATCTGCATATACTTTGTCCAGATTCCATTTACACTTTTCCCCAAAATGCATTCCAATTGTGACCAAGATGAGATCTGATTTTATTTTATGATTACTTTTTTTAGCGTGCCAAAGGAAATGGAATAGGAAGTTACTGACCACCGCAGAGAGAAAGTTCAAAGTCTGCTGTTTCACATTTTTGTTTAGTACCAGGGATGCACAATCAGAATTAGTCAAGAGCCAGATTTTTGTTATAAACACACACACACCAATCAGCCAGTTTTTCATGTTTAATTAGGCTGATCTGTGATGCAACTGTATTATGTAAATAACATGAGCCAGATAAATACACTTGTGCTGTATCTGAATGCTGTTGCTACACTTCTACCAAAATGTTGAAACACAATTACTCATCACTTATTGTGCTGAATAGCCAGATGCCTCTTACTTTTGATGTGGCTCTTCATTTCATTCATGTTATTTAAATAGGCACATAAAAAGCATATCAACACAAACGTTATTTCTGGTTTACTTGTTTACTTTTTCCTCATTGCAACACAAATCAGCAAGCTAGGCTTGGACGCTTTCAGCGGCTCCACACGTATCCTCCGCCTTGCGTTTCATTACTTATCCTCTCACTTGCTAGCCAGCACTAAGCAGGCGTATTTCTGCTAATGTTATTTTATACAGAAAACACAATCCATTTACACTTGTGTTCAATGTGGTCAAGATCCACTCCAAATGTGGTTTGAGTTATCTGATCATAATCCGATCACAGAGCATCCTTACTGTGCTTACACCTGGCTTTTCATGTGGCCAAGTGAAATCTGAATGTGCTTCGATCACAGAAAACACATGTTGATACATGGTGTAAACAGCCTCTTTTTCATCTCTCCCCATCAGAGAGCAGCAGGCCCAGCCATCCAGACATCCAGCTGTGGCAGCATCAGGATTCAAAATCTGGTCCTAGATAGCACGCAATCCTGTAGGCAGATGCACCACTCTGGGAGCCCTCTAACACTGTTTTTATTTTAATTTCCCCATTCATATCACCATCAAACCTTTTTTGATAGATTTTAAGAAAGCAGAGTTATTGGCCAATGGTAGTGGTGGAACGATTCTGAAATAGAGACCAAAACTGAGAAACAAATGTCCACAGTCTCATGTCAATACTCCTCCCCCGCACCCTCAACCCAACCCACTGCATTCAGAGTATTTTTATTTTTTTAAGAGAATTTTTATTTGTTTATTTATTTTTGTTTACATAGTTAATTTATGTGAAGTTAAAATATGATGTTCTTTAGTGCTCTCTTTGGTGTTACAAATTTGATTTCATTGTTGTTGATAAAACCCATAAATTATCTCCCTGTTTTTTATTTATCCCCACCCTCACAAAAAAAACAAACAAAAAAAATGAACGAACAGTCAAAGTCTATGTTATACTAATGGACAAATCTCATTCTCTGCTGTTATTATTTGCTATCCGGTGTCAACCAGAGGAGGAGAGTTCCCCTTTTGGGTCTTGGTTCCTCTCAAGGTTTCTTCCTCTTGCTCTTAAGGTGTTTTTTCTTGCGACTGTTGCCACTGACTTGCTCATGTGGGCTTGGACCCAGGTATTCTGTAAAGCTGCTTTGTGACAACACCTGTTGTAAAAACGCTATATAAATAAACTTTGACTTGACTTGGCTGAACCGTGGCTCAAAAACTGAAATAAACTGTAAATTTGGAGAATCGTTGCACCCCTAGCCAATAATACAACAAGGGCAGGGTGAACTGTGGTAGTTATCGGCTAAATTTCAGTTTGCCTCTAGAACTTATGAATAAAAGTGACTAAAACACCACTCGTCACCAGTGTGCACAACTGACTCAAATGTTATGTAAAAAAGGTCTCACCTGCCCATTTTTCTTGAGGTCTGCCCACATGCTGGTTCCATCTCCTCCTCTCATGAGAACATGGTAGGTGAAATAGTAGATACCAGGGAGGGGACAAGTGAACTTGCCAGTGGTGGGTTCATAGTAGTTACCCACATTGGTGACCACGTCATCAAACTTGAGCACATCACTGCCTTCATGCTGTTTGCGCAGGCCTGCATAGAAAGCGATCTTCGGGCTGTATGAGGACACATAACCATCAGGACCAGGTCCTGGAGGTCCCTGCGGACCAGGCTTTCCAGGCTCTCCAGGGGGGCCTCTGGGGCCAGGTGGTCCTGGGATCCCTGGAGGCCCTCTGTATCCAGACTTTCCTCTTCGGCTTGTGAAATCTGGAGGTGGCGGGGAGACAGCCGTCAATTCCTGGCCATGTTGCGAGGGGGTATAGGGGTCACAGACCATCCGACAACTGCCAAGCATTTCATAATGACTTCCTGCACTTCCAGCTCCTCCCCCTTTAGTGCTGTGGACCAATAGAGGTATGGCAACCAAGAGAATGAGAACCATGGCCACGCCCACGGCTGCCCCTATAACACGTTTGCGGCGGCTCAGCCGGGAGGCAGCCAGCGCAAGAAAGTCCTCCTCTCCTTTGGGCGGAATGGTGCCCGCCAGCGTGGACAGTGGGTTTGACAAAAATACAGACTAAAAGTAAAAGTGAAAAAGGGGGCTATGGGGAGATTTTATATATATATATAAACAAAAGTCAGAAGCAAGGATGTCTAAGGAAAGATGAGACCAATGGGGAGAAGGGTAATGGATGAATTTATGGATGAGGCAAACGGAGTGTGGAGCATACAGAGAGAAAAGAGTGCTGAGGGACTATGGGTAGAATGGGGTGGAGGGGGAGAATATGAGGGAGTGGCAAGAAAAAAGAGTACAGATGAGAACAGTGAGCTCTGGATCACCTATCTACCACAATGCCATAAGCATGACAATTTCTTTAGTGATTATATCATTACAATGTTTTTGTTTTCTAGTGTAATAAAAATGTTGAGTTAGTTTTCTTGTCTCTCATTACCCCTTTTGCAAGCTTTTATGCAGGGATTCCTCTAGGGTACACAAGGCCCTTTTAGTCGCGCTCTTTCATCACAGATCAGTAAAAATGGTGTTTGTCCCACAGCTCAGCAAAGGCGCTCTTTAGCAGCAGCTAACAAAGAGAGCAACTGTCAAATTCAATTCATTAAAGGTTCATGTGCAGCCACCAAATGTTCTGTTTGCAAAATAGGTTAGCACTGTTTTTTTATGCAGACACGCCAGGAGCTCACTCTATGATGAGGGAATTTCAATGCTCCATGAGTGAAAATAAAATGAAACTGATCCGTCCAAATTGTCTAGGCAAAATGAAATGTGGGTTCTGTGTCTTCGCAGGATTCCCCTTCACAAGACTGAGCAAAAATGATGTCTCTGATGTCTTAGAATATTAGGGAAATGTCTTGTTTTAGAGAGTGATCCAATGCTTTCATGGGAAGTGACAAAACTCCACAACTGGAGAAAGAAATAGAGGGCAAAATCAGCTAAAGCTAGCCTCCATTAGAACTTTAACATGTATGAAATATCCAAAAACAATAATGTGTACATCGTTATAGCACTATGACCACTTAAACACTTGTATATATGTCCTACCACAAATGGCTCAAAATTCTAAAAATGCTTAAGTGAAGTTATTACTTTAATTTAATTTGGAGGCTACTGTTATTGCTACCTTTTCAGGTCGTTATTCAAGGAAGGTAGACTTTATCTTCAGTTATCACCCCGAGAAAAGAGCACTAGTGCATTTCTCAAAGACATCTTTTCCCTAAGCAACTCATTTTCATTCATCCGTTTTGAGGGCAAGACCTGAGAAGGTAGCGGCACCCCACAGCGAAAAGCGACTTTAAACGACTGTGGTAAGGTTAAAGTAAAACTGAAAACACTTACCGTCTCTTCGACTCTCACAGGTTTCTTTCATTTATTAAAAAAAAAAAAACAAGATTTGAGTCACTCGAGTTGGTGAGGGCTGTTTAAAGTTAGCCTCACCGTCTTCCACACATCCTCAGCGACTTTACGGAGCGAGCGCTCGCGCTGACAGACCAACGGCTGAGTGATTCAAACCAAACCGACGGTTTGAGGAGAGGAAAAAACGCTCGCGACGCGACCAAATCTTCCCTCAAAACAACAAAAACTGTTTAGAAACAGGAACGGAAGTTCATTTTCCTATCGAACAGCTGCGAGTCTGCTGGAAAAACCGACAAACTGTCTGACTCCGCCAGGGACAGGCTGTAGTTCAACTTAAGTTCTCTCGGTGTAACGTTTAGCCTAGCTAACCTAGCTAACCGCGCAAAAATACGAATTGGTTATCTCCGCAGAATCACGCTTCAGTCGACGGCGCTGGTTCGACCTCTCCACCACCTGTGAGATTTCAGCACTGTCCCCCTCATGTTTCGATCTGTTCTCCCCCTCCCTCCCTCCTCCTTCTTTCTCCTTTTTCCTCACTCTCTCTCCTTAACCACTCATTGTTCACTCAGCTTAATTGCCATAGGGGAAAAGTAACTGTTAATGCATTTAGCATAGCTGTTAGTAACCTATGCACATGAGATGGAACTAAAATAAGCTGATTGAGCGATTTTTTCTTTAAGAAAAATTATAAAGATAGGCTATGAATCGCCTAGCCCATCAGTGTTGTGGGGCAGGGATGAGGCAGTAAGTATTTTTGAGGCCAGTGTATGTGAGTGTCTGTTAGTTGCACTAGCTTTCAGACCTCATTAGTGAAGGACACTGAGACCATTGTGCTCTTTCTTGCTCTCCCTCCCTCATGCGCACACATACACATGCTGCCTCCCATACACACACATATTCCAGTTATCATAAGCCTTCAACTGCACTGCATTGTGTATTCTGTAGAGGCAGTCCAAGAGTCCCAAGTCTTTTATAGATCACCACAAATGAACCTTACTGAGACAGATAGCTGTGAGAGCAATATATAGGCAGGGTTTGTCACCTTGCGCTTCTTTTCTACTCATTTTTTACTCATAAACCCTTTTCAGAATACAATATGAGGCTATTTGCACATATGTCTAATGACCTTATTAAATGATGTAATCTTATGAGTATTGCTAATGGAGTGCTTTGTAAGGAATGTAGTTTCAAGTCAATGATTTGCGTGGCTTTGCACGCAGCATGTTGTAGGGCCGTGCTTAAATGTGGCCATTTTTTTGGCGCAGCTCCATTGAGAATTCTGTATAACTCATCCGATCTCCCTCCCTGTCAGGTTTAATCACACATCTGCGTTTTTAAAGTTTAATGGAGGAGGTGGGAGCAGGGGGAATACATATTGATGGCTCTTTCTCATCCCTCCTCCCTCTTTCAGATATGACCACTGTCAGGGGAAAAGAGGCACTGGGAGCGTCCGATTGGGATAGGGGAGAGAGAGAGAGAGGCCATGCGAGATGTTCCCCAAATAATGACCGGTGAGATATGAGTGACTTTGGCTTCTGGGAGGATTCAGCAGGGACATGTAGAGTTGGAGTGAATGTGTGTGTGAGATGCGTTTTGTGGGGTGAGTTAAATGGTGTGTCACTTCCAGTTTGTGGGTCAGTCAGTCTGTTCCATTAGACGCTCACACACACACACACACACGTGCACACCCATGAACACGCACACACACACACTCTCCTCCAGTGCAGTTTCGGCCTCTACGGATGTATAATCATCGCCAAGAGTCAGAGGCAATATAGTGAGAATTGGATTTTTAGTGCCTGTTAAAATATTACTGAGCTGATTAATATTGAAATATGCACGTCTCTGAGCTGTCTGTCCCTCATTCTTTCTCCAACTTTCCTTCTTTTTCTTTCTTGTTTCTTGCTCTTTCTTTCCCTCTCTATCCTATCTCTTTCATTGTCTTTGTTAATTTGTCAGTTTCCTTTTGCTTATAACAGCAAAAGGTCTGTGTTTGACTTATTATAAAGGCTTTGAAAGAACTTTCTCCACTGTCCAAGCATTTGATGGTGCCCTTTCATATTTACTATCAGGCATTTGATAGCTGTTTGAATTGTTACTTTGACCTGTCTCATACATTTTGGCATGCCAAACATAAATACAGCTCTGTGTCACGGCGAGCCTAAGTAAACACCTATTCCATGATGCGTGACTTAAACAGCCCATTAGTCACTGTAAGTTCTTATTCATGTCGTGCATAGCTTTACATCTTTTTATATGTTACACTACTAATTAATGTTCCACTGCATTGTTTGTAAAAGCCAGTGAAGCCAAGAGAGTTAAAGGGCATGGGAGAGCATGAATAATAAAAGAGTTATGGTATTTAAATTTTCTTCATCATCATCGTCGTCTATTCATATGCATATCTAGCTAAGTGTGTGTGTGTGTGTGAGAGAGAGACAGAGAGGGGCAGTGCTACATATCCCCCTAGTACACACACAAATTAGAGAAAGCAAGGAAATTCGTTCCAGCCCAGTCATTTAGGACTGCCGCATATTATTTAATAACATTCAGTTTCAGAATGTGCTAAAATGAATAAAAACAACACAGATTCCCCACACTGTAATATCAATTGTGGTTTACAGTGGCTTTCTATTAGATGCCATATGCCATCAGGTTGCTGCCTTGTTAAACACTAATTGGCTGTAATCATTACTAAATGGAAGATCCCCTGAGACCTCCTCTGCCCCTTACTGAGCTCAGAGAACTACTGACATACCTAAGGACATGTGTATATTTTTATAGAAGTCATTTTCCTGTGATAAATTGTTGATGTTCACAATATGAATGGGGAGGCAAAAAGAAATTAGGACATGAACTAACCCTGTGAACGAACACTGAAGTCAAATAACTGTATTGTGGACCACCATCCTCATCTTCCATTATACTTGAGTTTGTTGCTCTATGTGCTCTTGTGCAAATAAACGGATCAGCATTTTTTATCAAAACTGATAGGCTGCAGTCACAAGTTTTGATTAGGGCTATGAGACAAAAGTGGTTGACAGTGAAGGTTTTTTTGTGTGGGCCAGTTTCCTGGACATGGATTGAGACTAGAGTTGAATTAAATTGCAGTATCAATATCTTGAGCCACCATTGAAAATCCTTTTTAATGTAAGTTTTGAGTTTGTTTTAGTCTGGGAAACTGACTCATAAGGATTTTCTTAGTATACAGGGTACACTTTCTAGTACAGTGGTTAACAACTCTGTTCCTGAAGATTCGTTTTCCAGTTTAGTTGCTAGCTAACATAACACACCTCATCAAATGAAACTTTGATAAACTTGATAATTTGGGGTCTGTCCACTCTATGGCATTTGGAAACACCAGCACGTCATTTCCAGTCATCTGCTTGAATGGATAGAGACCTATAACCCCTAAAACTGATAGCCAAGCTGAAGTTTAAAAGACTCAAACCTGTGGGAAATTCAGACAAAAACTGTACAAATAATTTGAGGTTCTTAGCTCAAATGTGCAAAGCATTTTTCAGCTTGTTCCAGTTACTGCGCAGACACATATCTCAGCAACAAGAGGTTTATCAACT